ACTGGTCCATGCCTTCGTCTCCTCAAGGCTAAATTACTGCAACGCTCTCCTCATCGGGACTCCTATCGGGAGCCTTCAGAAGCTCCAATATGTACAGAACTACAGAACAGTGCCGCTAGGATCCTGATGAGGGTGAGAAAATACAACCACATCACACCCGTCCTTCATTCCCTCCACTGGCTTCCTTTCTCATTCAGGATCGAATACAAGATCGCACTACTGACCCATCAATGCATCCACGGGAACGCTCCTCCATACCTGAAGGAACTTCTCACATCTCAAACCTCCACACGAAACCTCCGTTCCACAACTAACCATTGGCTTCGCCCCCCGAGGAACAAACTCCGCACAATGGGGGATCGGGCTTTCTGTGCAGCTGCTCCTCGTCTGTGGAATTCCCTCCCAGACCACCTGAGGACTCCACAGACCACTGACGCCTTCCAGAAAGGCTTAAAAACCTTTCTTTTTAAAAAAGCTTTTGATTAAACTTTTGTTTATTTTGTTTGTTTTTATTATGCCTCCTGTAGCACCTTGGGATTGCTGTGACCAATGAAAGGTGCTTTATAAATCAAATTTATTATTATTAATATTATTAATTCCAACACATTTAAGAATGGTAGGTTTAACAATTCCGTTCAAAACTTTCATCTAAACCATTCCCTCAGCATTCAATACACAGAGATTTAAGCAATATTTACCAAGTTAGAGAGAACCTTACCGAGAGCAAAAACCCAGCTCTGAGGGACAGAGCTTTTACCGGGAGAGAGTATACCAGGGGAACCCCCCCCTCTCTCTCCAGTTTGCTCCCTCTCCGCCAGTGTATTTATGCTCAAAAACAGGATATAAAAACCTAAAGACACCTCCTCCATAGCCATGTTTGTGTAAAAAGGACATGACCCCTACTCTGCAGGACTTGCAAAATATTATTCTCTGCTATGACATAACCACCTTTTTGGGGCCTCAATGTATTTGTCCTTAAGTCAGGAGCCCCCCTCCCTGTGTACTGCTGTGAGGGAAGAGGGAAGAAACTGTCTCTCCCTTATCAGTGAAACCCATAAATCATTATAGGCCTTACACACTCAACTTAATAAACCATTTGTGTATTGTTTATACTGTAAATATAGAAAATAATAAAATATGAAGCATTTTCATTGTGGGTTATACATTAATATATTTGATTATAACTAACTTTTGTTTTAATTATTCAACCTGATATGGAGATCTCAACAAAAGGGAAGACCAAAAAGCATAATAGGGCCCCTTTAACAGTCAAATCAATTCGTTGACACACTTTTAAACGAGGAGTATAGTCTTTTATGTTCCTGCAGATTAAACATTATGTCCTCTAACTTCCTCTGCATTGAACCTGTTTCCACAGTCTGTGTTTGGTCTTGCATCACTAATCTAACACTGATTAAACCAGGTCCACCCTCTGTAATCGCCACTATTGTGGTTTAGTACCCTAAATATACTCCATTTCAAAATGAGACCAAACTGTTCGACACATTTCACTTGTGGTCTAAAAAAGGTGGCTTTTTCTTTTAGCTTAGCTTGTTGCTAGAAATGTCTTTTCTGTTACTGAAATTGTTGTGGATCTCGTGCGCCCCCTACTGGTTGGCTAAAACAAGATAGAGTTCAGCAGTCAATGGTGGTATAAGCTCACAAAATATTGGTTTATTGATCCAGTAGTATGTGAGAATAGCTACCGCCAGACACACAGATATATAGGGGTGAACCATTTGGAAAACATAACTAATTGCAATTATTTAGACTAATATTGCAGTTGCACATATCAGAAACAATCAGAATACTTGTTTTTATCTGGGAGGAAATTGGGTTTGAAGGAAGAATGAAATAAATTAAAAGATAATTATATAAACATAAGAAATTAAAGAAACAATTTGTGATCAAATAGAATCATTTATATAAACATAAGAAGTAAAATAAATAACATGTGAAAAAATAAATATATTTTTGTCACCATCAGAAGTAAATCAAATGTCCAATAAACGCTAAAAGAAATAGAAATAAAATATTAAAAAGAAACTAATAATTTGCGATTACAAGATAAAATAAAGTAACAAATATTTATACAAACATAAGAAGTTAATAAAACATGGAATGAAAAAGCGATATCAGTATGATGAGGGAATGTATATTCTTTAAACACTATCCACATTATCATTAAGAAATATACTAAAATGATCATAAAGTAAACTGAGATTCTTTCTCATTTCCTGGTTTAGGACTCATTCCTGCTCTAATCTATTGGGATTTTAAAGTTTATAAAATGTTGATTAATTGTGTAGCCCTGCAGATATACACTCATAGAAACGCGTGAAAAATAACATGGTGGTTTTCTGCAGAATGTGCCCACCATGGGGGTATCTGCACTGAACTTGGCCAGCCTGCTGTGTGACGAGGTGAGCCTGGCAGGCTTCGGCTACAACCTCTCCCAGCAGGGGGCGCCGCTGCACTACTTCGACCAGCTGCCCATGAGCGCCATGCTGCGGCAGACCACTCACAACGTGGACCGGGAGACCCAGCTCCTCCAGAAGCTCGTCAGGGAAGGGGCCGTCACAGACCTGACTGGGGGGGTACACTGCTCCTTCTGCCCCAGCTGAACACTTTTCACCTAGAAACGTCTGAGAAGCCAGGAATAAAATAATATTTAGGTGAGAAAAACTTGAAAGATGGGAATAAATCTAGTCTTATATATGTGAATTTGTCATTAAGTGCTTTATACAGAAGCCCTGAGAGGCAAATAAGAAAACAAATGTAGTTACACATTTTCTTTGTCCGATCTTAATTGTGTTTATGACTTGATAACCTGATGAAAAAAGGTATGGTTAAAAAATTATTTCTTAAAAAAATAATTAGGGAATTTGTTAGAAAAAAAGGTTTTGCCAGAATGGCCGTATCAAGTTCCTATTTAAAAAAATCCATTTGTGAAACATTTTGCCATTTTATTTTGCATAATGTTTTTAAATACTAACAAAATGCAATTTAACAATTGTTTGAACTTAAAAAAAAAATGATTGTCAAAAAAATTTTCTACCAGTTTCACAGATAAACAACAATCATGAATCCTATAAAGTTTTTCCTGAAAAAAAAATCTTCACCTATTCTAAGGTCATAAACAAAGTACATTCATTTTTGTATCCGACTTAAAAAACTAAAATAATTAATTTTCTTAATTGCCTTTTTCGGGCTTCCGTAGCTTGAAGAACAAAATTGAAGTCACTGTAAATGAGAGCCTTCTGAAAACATCAGTCTTGTTGTTATGATACTCTTAATGCATAGACAACTCACGCACATTTGGAATGAAGAAGGTCTCAATATGTATTATTACTGTCTTATTTTTGTCATAATAGTTCTCTAAGTACAAATGATTCTATCAAAGCATCTTCCACAGAGTTTAATGTGGTACATTGCATTTTAAGGAGGTAAAGCTTATGTGTTCGTGGTGACACTTTAACACATAGATCTGTAGTTACAGTTTACTTTTTGAAGGGGTTGAACATATGTGAATTAACTATCTTTATCAGCACGTCAACAACATTACACTATAAATTAGCAACTATACAATTCCTTTGTTGGTTCTGTATGTGGTTTTATTTAGGAGTTGACATGTTTCACACCTGCATTTAAATTGTATTCTACTTATGTGTGCACTGTAAACATTCCTTTAATTTATGTTGTCACTATTCTGTTCTTACTTTGTCTCATTTTGAAAGACCTTATCATTTCGTATGTCTTCATTTATTGAATAGACACATCTCATATAGCTCAAATCTGGAACAGTTAATGAAAAAAAAGAAACTGTACATATTAAAAACAATCTAAATGTCAATGTCACTGTAAATGTTCACATATAGTTCTTTTTTATACTAAATGTTCTGTAATTATCAGTCTTAATTTATTGTTTTGTTTTTACACCTTGTTATTATTAAAATATACATATGGTGTTACTGCATAATTGAGTGGTTCATTTGCATGTTAATGATTATTCACTGATTTTCTTAAAATTACAAATAATGAAATGTCCTTTTTTATGTTCCATTCAGTTGAATGCACTACCAGTATCCATGGTAACAGCTTCCACTGCTCTACACTTCAAATGTGTAATAAGCAAATGATGTACTTTTCAAAGTGTAAAGGTTACTTTCCTCCAGGTTAAATATGACTTCTCGGCCACTCTAAATCAGAGTGTGACTTCCTGCCCCAGAGTCAACAGGAAACACTATGACCTTCAATTACTGGTTATTACCATGGTTATTACACAACAAAAGTTGCATCGTGTCATGCAGTCATACAATAGGTGATTTTTTAAAGTTAATCTATATTTTAAAGATATAATACGTATTTTTAAAGATACCTTCTTAAACATTATACTATGTTCGACTCTACTTTACATGTATTATGAGCGGAAATAAGGCAATTTTCCCTTTTCAAATTAAGAGTTCTAAAAACAAACCGCAATCGCTACAATATGAAAAGACAATATAGGAAGACAACAGTTGTATAAAAGTAGACTTCAGAATATTTCTAATGAAATACTATTTAAAAATACACTCGTTTACTGTAGCCCTTTCATAGTTTACTGTTGAGAAAGTTATGGACTTATTTTATTTTGAAACCTTCGGCCCGGAAATTGTATGTTTTTTAAACAGTCTAGGTGCGCGTGGTCAGAATGGAACAAGAAGCCGGGGAGATGAGCTGCTAACAGGTGGGAAGTCCCTCAATAATCTACTTAATGTTAGTGTATTAATATATTAATTAAAATGTGTTTACAATTGTGTATACCACATGTTTTACAGAAATGTACACGTGTAACATAAGAAACATGCATTGAATGGTATTGAAAGTCAGGTTGGGTCTTCTGCTCAGAGTAATGTCAGTTTGTTGTCAATGAAAAGAGGGTTTAACTTTAAGTGCTGCTCGCGACGCCTGGCTTTACTTCACTATGTAGGCTACTCAAGATACTTTTTAAGGACTCTGTACAAGTTGTCTCCCTGGTTGACTTTTACTTGCCATTGTAACGGTGCCACAATGACCTTTCAGTTCTGTCACTACTGGAGTAGACTTTGGTAGGGAGAAGTGAACGTTGTGTGTTCCAAAAGTTAGCACAAGAGTGTTAAATGCACAGGGAAGTTTAATGATTCATTGAAGTTTAAAGTCCGACGGGAGAGAGATTATCGCACATGAACGACACTGACGTAATGACTGTTCACTTACATTCTGGTGGATAGTTTGAATAATATTGTGTAGAAACAGTATTGTGTATTAACGTTAGGCAGGTGGACAGAGACTGTAAATATCACTACAGGGTTTTAGTGGCACATTGCAGGTTTTGAGGTGAAAGGTGACTGGTCTCTGATTGGCTGGCAGTCATGAACCCACCCTAATTTCATTGGTTCCTTGTTACCCATCCCCCCGCCCCTGCCCCTTCTCTCTCTGCCTCTCTTTATAGCTTGCGGCGCTTGTTATAAACACCTCAAGCTCAGGCTGCTAGAAAAAAGCGGATCAAGTGCTTCACTAAAACCTCAGGCATGCATTGCAGAAAGAAGTGCATTACATTAATACAGTATGGAACATATTGATCTAGCTCCTTCTCCATTTCACGTCATGATCTATGGTCATGATAGATATAGGGCTGCTCAATTAATCATATTTTAATCGCAATTACGATTTTGGCTTGCAACGATTATGAAAACAACATAATCGAAATAAAACCTATTATTTATTTTATTTAAAAAAAAAATATGTATTGTTTTTCAGTTGAATTGTACTTAAAGTTCAGGGTAATCAACTGTTAAAAACATACTGTTCACATTATTTTTCAATAAATTGATGTTTTCAAAGTAAATGGATTATCATTTTTAATAATTGTGATATCAATCATTAACCCAAATAATCGAGATTATGACTTTTGCCATAATCGAGCAGCCCTCGTAGATACATGTTACACCTTCTTTGGGAATTCTGAACTGTAATCAGCCTGACTCATTGGTCCAATTTTTAAAGAGAAGAAAGAAAGAAAATGTTAATAAAAAATTACAGTAGCCTACAAGTATAAATTAGCATAATATTAAGTTGGCAATAAAGTATAAAGTGGTATTTATTTGTCTGAATTGATCATAAAAGAAAACAAAGTTGAAACTCTTTATTGGTTTTACCATATCGAGATACAGTTATGCCAATCCACTGAACAAATATTGACATTAGCATGAAAATCTATTCAGAGCATTATTCAATTGACACATACAAATATTGAACAATCAAGATATGTGAAGTGATTCAGTGTCCTACTTCAGGTTTGCAGTATTTCCACATATTTCTTTAAGAAGAAATACCCTTCATCTGAACACACGGCCCCTCTACATCACAGACCCTAAGTATGAAGCCATTCAAAAGGCGGTAGCTATACGGCGCATATCATTTGCCTGCTTGGTAATCCAGCCTTGCACTCTTGAGTAAATGCAACAGGACAACTCATCTTATATTTTCCTTTATCACCTAATCACTGAGTTTATCAAGTTAAGATAAGTTTAACACTTGTCATTAAGTTACAATTGACTGAATATCTTCAGTTTTGGACGGTAGCTAGACAAAACAAGCAATTTCCAATGAAATTGCAAAAAGTGTTTGCCTAATATAAATACTTGTTAATAATACCTTTATTTGGCTAATAGTAAGTCTGTATGGCATATTTGTTATAGAATGTCTGTATGGCACACTTTGTTAATAGTATGCAGTGTTTCCCCTATATACAAATAGTGGCGGCGCAGCGCCGCTGCTGAAATATGAGCGCCACTGCTAGGGGGCACCAGCCAGGTACCCAAAAAAAGAAAAGTTTTTCTTTACTTTTTTTTTTTTTCTTAAAATAATAATAAGTGGTGACCCTTTTTCATTGTTTGTTATGTGGATTTGTAGTATTTGTGTTACTGTATGTTCAATAAAGGTGTATTTTTGCTAAATCTTGAGACATTGCCACTGTATGTACTAGGCAGGGCCAATTTCTGGCATAGGCAGTCGCCTAGGGCGCCAGATCTGGGGAGCGCTGCGCTGGTAGCTCTGGGAGGGAAAAAACATTTTTGACCGTTGGATCTCATCCAAATGTTCAGCCTTGATGTAACAACATTCATAATTAAGTAAATGTAACACCCTTTTCACCCCGGTAACACGTTTAATTTGCTCTGTACTAGCTAGGGGTGCACCGAATGGGAAATTCTTGGCCGAAACCGATACCGAAAATAGGAAACGGTTGGCCGAAAACCGAATGCCGAAAGGCCGAAAATGATTAATAGAAATATATATATATATAATGTATACATTTTTTACCAATGTTGTTCAGCTGCCTGATTATGGAAAAATAAATGATTATGGCAAAACTTAACTTAAATAATAATCACTATTATGGGTCCATAAAACATTTATTCAGCACTTTTGAATGCATACAGTACATTAATTCCAAGTCAAGTGCATTTTATTTTCTCTGTAGGATAACTACAACAAAGTGCATTCAGAACAAAGCCAAGGTGCTTTAGAACTGCATAAACATCTAGGCCAGTAGGCCTACAACAAAATAGTGTAAATAAAGACTGTAACAGCCAGGCCTTCAACAACAACAAATGCACCTATAAGTGCATGCATACAAATGTGCAAACTGGATAAATCCACATGAATGTAACTATTTACAAATGAAATTACAATTGAATTTCAAGAATCTGTAAATAAGGCTGTCTGTCCTCATAAGCAAAGTAGTAAACATTGTATAAAGATACATAAAGTGAAAACTGGATACAAAATCCACAATCAATTA